CCCCAAAAAGGAAAAAGTCCCCCCAAAAAGCTAACCCTCCCCTCTCTCTCAAACCCCCCTAGGCCCTCTCCTACGTCGCAGGCTACACATCCAGCAACGACGTCTCCTGCCGGGACTGGCAAATGGAAAAATCCAAAGCCGGAATGATGCCTCAATGGAGTTTTTCCAAATCCTTCGATAAATACGCTCCCTTGGGCCCCGCCATCGTCAGCACCAGTGTGTTGGGAGATGCATCCGGATTGACGCTTCGCACAATGGTGAATGGAGAGGAACGACAGAATTCCAATACGAGTGATTTGTGTTTTGGAGTGAAGAAACTCGTGAGTTTTTTGAGTACGGGTCAGACGTTGCAGGCGGGGACGTTGATTATGACGGGGACTCCGGGTGGAGTGGGATTGGGGTTTAAGCCGCAGAAGTTTTTGAAGGATGGGGATGAGGTCGTGGTGGATATTGAGGGGATTGGAAAGGTGGTGACGACGATGCAGTTTGAATGAATGAGAGAGAGAGAGAGAGAGAGCAGTTGAGATGTGATGATGACATATAAATATATCTATGTATATACAATAGCTCATGTATGCTGAACCAACTGCAGGTAGAAAAAAAAGTCATCTTTGGATCAGACGATAAATATATACATATCAGTCAACGTAGGTATGCTGCACTGACTCATTACAAAACACAACACAATTCTTGAATCCCTTTTTTGTTTCTAGTCCAATAATGTAGCGTTCGTTTTGCGTGCCAAGATAAAATATGCCCATATGGGTACACCAATGGAGGTCTTGTCTTCAAAAGGGGGGTCATGAAAAATATCTCTCATATCTGCCTTCCGCAGGTGGCGTCACCTCCAATCCACCATGTTCGCGTCGAATGGTCCACATACGTCGGTCTTCCTCCACCGTCTCCAGAGCTGATTCCACGTCATTCTCACTGTTGCCACTTCTGCTGTACCGGTGTGTCCTACGCAGCAAGGGCGTGGCACTCTGCTGTCGTGGCGAAACCCGTTGCTGTGGCTGAACGGGAGTCGAGCTATGCTGTAATGGCGAAGATCGATGCTCGGGCAGCAGTGTGCGCCGAGCTGATTGTAAAGACATTATTGGCCGTGGTGGGGAACTGCTGCTTGTATTCTGTAGAGGAGATGTCTGTCGATCTCTGGGTAGATTACTGGCCAGCTGTTGGTCGATTCGTCGAACGTCGTCGATTCGGCGAGCAACACTTGGTGATGGTCGGTGTGGTCGTGCTGTAGATCTTGCTAAATCAGCCGGAGTTTGCGGCTGTTGCGCGGACGGCAGAGAGTCATCGTAGACTACCAGATGGGGAGCAACCAGAGGTGTGCTATCCAGCATTGACGAGGACGATGCCCGATCAAGCCAGGCCTGCGACGGCGTCAAAGGCGGCGACCTAGAGCTGGCGGAGACAGGCGATGACTGTTGTATATGAGGCGATGGTAGCGCGAGGGAGAGCTCGTAGAGTGTTCCAGGATCCATGATCGAATCTCGCCGTTCATCAGGCTTCACGACATCTCTAAATGCAGGCGATAGTGGTCGATAAGAAAGGTCCTCGGGCACGATGTTGGTCATGTCAGATTGGCTGTTCAACTGGAAGAGGTTACCAGAGAGCAATGCAATCCTGTTTCGACCTGGCGTATGTTCCCATGGTCTCTCCACCGACCTTGAGTGGTGTGTGCTGGAAGCCATACGTCCCAGCTGCTGGCTCAGCTCATCCAGAGGTGAATCACGAGACAACACATCCAGTGGCACTTCCGCTGATGATGAAGTGCTGACCCTATTGGCGACGCTGACCATCCTTGGAACCTGGCGTTCATTCTCTTGGTGACGATCCCATGTCAGCGAACTGCTGCGAGTCCGAATACGAGGTTCATGATAGAGCGTCGGCGACCGAGGGAGGAGCAGGTTTGGGCTCGATCTATGGCTGGACTCTGTTCGCAAATCGTTGTGCGATCTGAGGTTGCGCTCATATGTGTCCAGATGCCGGCGAGAACTGGTACGTTGTGGACACAATGGGCGCCGGAATGGTGGGTAGCAGTCGACATTCTGAGCCGTTGAGCGACTCGAAGATCCGAATCGCGTTCTCGACACGAATACTGGAGCGCCAGGGTCAAGCAGTGGATTGTTGTAGGTATCGTCCATGTCGAAGCGGTCGTGTTGAAGTGGTGGTGAGCGAGTTAGTGGAATGCAAGTCCCATCATCGTCGCTGCAAATCGTGGCTTCCGACGAACACGAGTCCGCTCGTGTCTGGCCATCATTGTCGTATGCTTTTGTGATGCTTGCGCGCATTGAACGGCTTGAGGTCGAGCGGAGTCGCAGACCACCGAGTTTGACTTGTGTCTGATGAAGGGAGTGTCGCGCTTCGTATCTGCTTTGAAAGTCTCTCATGTCTGCCTGAGACAGCCCAATTCGGGTTGTTGGCGCGAGCAGCATGATCTTGAGTCCGTCCAGTGTCTACATGCGGGACACACGACTACCTACCTGATGTATTGTCTGCAGTGAGAGGGCAGACGACGAACAACAGCCAAACAAGCAGGACGGTACAGGTAGGTAGTCTTGTCTGGCCATGGCAGCAGGAGCTCATCAACCTATATCCAACTAGTCAATCAGGAAGAGTGAGGTAAGTGGAAGGGATGTGGGAGAAGCAGGAGCTTGCTGTCTCAGTATACCTAGGCCAAGTACATGTACCTACCTGTGAGCATGAGAGCAGAGCAGGCATGATCGAAGCAGAATCTGGGAAGAGACATGGCAAAAATACCTTGAGATGCATGTACTTCTGCAGCTATCGTAGCATATTGGATCTACTGATCGAGGGTGTGGTGTATAGAATGCCTACTGTCCGGCCGAAACATCTCTCGGCGATATAACTGCCAGTCTTGCAAAGTGATGTCCATATAGTGGTGTGTGGACTTCGGGTGTAAGGTCGGGCAGGTATATGTTAGGCAGGCATTTCCCATCCACTCCTAAGCCTGTTTCGCCTCAACAGACAACTTTTGGATGATCCTCGAGGTCGAGAGAGCGCAACTCAGAACGGGGTCTATTATCCATCAGAATTGGATAGGAACACAGTCGGCCGGTGCGCGTAGACTCGAATAACCCGCCGTAATACCGTAATGCAGCTAGTGAGTTCGGATGCCTCGTGTACACACCTCTCCACGGTATACACCTCTCCACGGCGAGGCGCCAGGAATTCGCTTGACTACATGACATGCTTCCTCTGCAATGCCGCGCGCTCGCGCAGAGTCAGCAGAGTCAGCAGACTCGTCCAAACCACGATGGAACCGAGGACATGTGACGCCGGTCTTGCAGGTGTCCAACCACGGAGCGGTGTATACTACTGTATCGGCCGAATGCAGTAGTTCTACCTATTTCGTGCCGCGTATCTGCCGGCGGCCAGCACACCAGCGGGCGTGGGAGTCGGAGGAGGGGTGCGGGCATACGGGCGAGCAAGTGAAGGGAACAGGAACATGAAGGGAAGACAGGGCGCCGATGACGATGATGATGATGGTGATGTCGATTCGCGGGCGACATGAAACGCACGCGAGAGTTAAGCAGTATGTATAAGTAGAACTAGTGCCTACGGTCAGGTCAGCTGCAGTAGACCGGGGGGAAGAGGAGGTGGTCTCTCGCAGTCAGGTCTCAGGACTCAGGGCAGAATGAGTTTCATCATTCATACCCATGCCCCATGGATGGCTATGTACATGTATTCTAATTCTATTTGGAGCTCCTGAATCCTGGCGTTGCCAACGGTTGGTGGGAAGTGCATATATACATCCTATAGATGGAGCGACCTTGGCACACTACTGGTTGTTCTACAGAGCGACGTGTACGTGGCCTGTCTGCTCCAGACGAGAGCTTTGCTTGCTTGCTTGCTTGTTAGTACGGTCAGGTAGTTCGATAATAGAATAGGTAGTTCGAGCTGGCTGCCTGGCTGGCTGGCTGACTGGCGGGCGGGCGGGCTCTCTCTGTCGGGCTTGATGATTATTCGTTGCTGCTTCACTCAACACTACCTTGCCTACTACTACTACGACTTCATGTAATCACTTTCACTCACACTCTCGACAACCCTCGTGCAGAAACCACCATCTGTACCTCCACCTCCTATCGAACGACGACGTCTTGACTCTGCACACGGGACACTTGACCTGGGTCGACTACACGCTTGGGACCCCCCGGCGGCTGTCACAAAGCTTGGGCATAGAGTCTCGAATCGTCCAAACGGCGCCTACCTCACCATACATGCCAATCGAGACATCCTCCGATCCCATTCCATATCATCCCCATACCACGCGAGACCAGAACACACGCTCCCTGTGCGCACTGGACAAACATTTGGCGCAACTGACCACAGACCCGCAAGCCGCCCACGCGTCTCCACGCCTACGCTCGCTTCGTTCCTCCCGCGCCAGAGTACCTACCGACTAGTGTGTATTCGACGGCACATGTGATGCCGAACCAGTACTACGCCGCCATTGAATCGAACACCGCTAGGCAGGCGCTGCCTCCGCCCTCCGCATCATGAGTGGCGGCGACCTCTCCCTCTCGCAGTCGCTAGGCGGCCTGCGCATCGCCAACCCCGACAACGACGTGGGCTCGCCCACATCCTCATCACCACCACCGCCCTCCACGCCGAGCTCTCGACCGCCGCCTCCGCCTTCATCACAGTTATCGGAGCCCATCGTGGCCGCGGCGAACCGACCGCAGTTGCTGTCGCTCGCTGGCAGCCGGGTGGACTACGACGTGGGATCTGATGCTGGCCTCGACTTCAATCCCAGCGACTACGTGATGCAGAACTTAGATGCCCCTCCGCAGCCTGAGCCGCCGAGGCGCTCACCTTCTGTGCAGCAGAGCCAGTTCTCGGACTCCCGATTGAGGCATCGATCCAGTATGCATTTGCAACACCAGGCGCAACAGCAGGCGCAGTTTCCATCCAACAATCCACAGCTCCGAAATCCCAGCGTGCAAACTATATCGCAGCAGCAGCAGCAGCAGCGGATGAGCGGAATGTACAGTCAGGGGAATAATTCACAGAGTTCCGGCATATCACATCAGAGTGGCTACAGATACAACGACGAAATGGCAGCATCCTCAGACGGCAGCATGGGCGGGTTGATGAGAAGCGCATCACGGTCTGCGAGATCGGCACTGGCAGTTGGCATACCTACGAGAGAAGCTAGCAGGTCTTATAGGCATCCAGGACCGCCGATGAATGGAGGTGGCAACGGTCCTCTGCCACCGCGAAGGAATTCAAGAAGGGGCAGAGCTCCGACAGGAGGCTCAGCGTCCACTGCTGGCTACGAAAGCCAAGACCAGCCTTATTCGGGCGCTGCACCAATGCCAAGGTCCAGGGACGAATGGGATGAGCGAGGTGCTGCAATGGGGACGCGAAAGGAGACGGATGCATCTGGCTCTCAGACGTCGAGAATGGTGAAGAAGGGGGTGAAGGATTTCAACTTTGGACGTACGCTAGGAGAGGGCTCCTATTCGACGGTGTTGGCCGCCACCGACCGGCAAAATCTGAAGGAGTATGCGATCAAGGTTCTAGACAAAAGGCATATCATCAAGGAGAAGAAGGTCAAATATGTGAACATTGAGCGGGACACTCTCAACCGACTGACGGAGCACCCGGGCATTGTGCGACTGTACTACACGTTCCAGGATGAAAGATCGCTCTACTTTGTGCTCGACCTGGCGTCACAAGGCGAGCTGTTGGGCGTGCTCAAGAAGCTGGGCTCGTTTGACCTGGAGTGCACCAAATTCTATGGTGCCGAAATCCTGGATAGTATAGCTTACATGCACAGCCGGGGCGTGATTCATCGCGATCTGAAGCCGGAGAATGTCCTGCTGGACCGTGAGATGCATGTCAAGATTACAGACTTTGGCACCGCAAAGATTCTGCCAGACCCGGCAGGCAACGGTTCCAACGCACCCGGAAGATCAAGTGGCAATCCTACCGATGGCGCCGAAACCGACCGAGCTGTGTCCTTTGTTGGCACTGCAGAGTATGTCAGTCCCGAGCTCTTACGGGACAAGAATGCATGCAAAGCTTCCGACCTCTGGGCATTCGGATGTATCATCTATCAGCTCCTCGCCGGGAGGCCACCCTTCAAGGCTGCCAATGAGTACCTCACGTTCCAGAAGATCCTTGCGCTGGACTACACCTTTCCTGATGGTTTTCCCGAGGTGGCGAGGGATTTGGTCGAGCGACTACTCGTGCTCGAGCCAGAGCGACGACTGCCGGTCGAGCATATCAAGAATCACAGGTTCTTTGATGGTGTGCAATGGGGCAAGACTCTGTGGCGGCAAAAGGCTCCGCGACTGAGGGCATACATGCCGCCTCCCGCAGAGCCGATCAAGCTCAACGGGGGCAGTGTCAGGATTGGAAATGGCGGCGCAATGGCGAGCTCCGCGGCAGCAGTAGCACTGTCGTCGCAGTCGCAGCCCGCCACGACACAACAAGCACCACCCCGGCGACCCCAGTTGCAGAATGTGACCGAGCTGCCTCCGCCCAGTCAACTAGATATCGACTGGTCACCGGTGCTCACACACAACAACGAAAGGATCTTGAAACTGGGCAACTTGGTGGTGACGACAGCGCCTCAGTCGAACAGCCCGACTGGCAAGAATGGCGATCCGCAGACACCATCCGAGAAACCCAAGTTTTCGCGATTCTTTAGCAGTAATACGACCAAGAAACGGGAACGACTGGTTCTCATCACGTCCTGTGCGAGGCTCGTGGTCGCTGCAGCGGGCGGAAATGAGAAGAAGGCGAAGATGGAGATCAATCTTGCCGCGAGTGGATCGACATGCAAGACGTGTGTCGACTCGAAGGGCTTGACGTACTGGTCGATTGACACGGTAAGTTTGATTCCCACACGTGTCGGGCGACGTGGAACTGACTTCTTGCAGCGTGACAAGCACTATACCTTTGAGGATCCTCGCGCAACGACTTCGGATCCTGCGGGCAGTAAATTCTCCACGCAAGAGTGGATGGATTGCGTGGAACAAGCACGAGAGCTTGCCATTGCAGCGTCCATGACCAATTCGTATTCGGGCGATTCGATGCTGAATGACCTGAATGCACAATCCGCCCTGAGCTCGCCCTCGGATTCGGTGGGTGACGATGCGGTCATGCCCATGAGCGGACCGAGCGCGAGTGAGCGACATGGGCATGCACTGCGCCACACATTACGCAGGAATACGGATGAGGACGAGCGCAGTTTGAAAGGAAGAAAGCGATTCAGCAAAAGACACAGCAAAAGTGGGCTTGCTGCCGTGTTTTAGTAATGATGCTGCAGCCGGAACGCCATGAGGCGCACGTGTGTTTTCCCACCCCTCCCCTATTCCGCTACACAGCGCACGCAGCATAGGTATTCCTCACATGATTTCTGATGCAAAGAAAGTGGTGGTTAGGTAGTTATTGACCACTACCTCAGGTGCTTTTTGTCCCCCAAGAGCGCCACTGTGCACAATAATAAATACCATGGGGTGCATCCTGATACTCACTCTCTTCATAATCATGACGATACGAACCCTCTTTGTTTTTGTTTTTGTTTGTTTGTTTGTTTTTTCTTCTTTTTTTTTTGTTTCTGATGCATGCAGCGATCTATTTCCCATTGCCCTTGCTGTTGCTGGTGCTGCTGGGGTGGTATAAGGTAGTATGAGGTGTACGGAGTATGATCGGTAGGAACCTGTAGGTACTGTAGCGGAGAAAGTGAGAATAGATAGGAACTGGATAAGGTAGGAAAGGAAAGGGAAGGAAAGGTAAGGAAAGGCAAGGAAAGGTTAGGAAATGCAAGGAAAGGAGGGAAGGAGGGGATGAAAGGAAAGGTTAGGAAAGGAGGGAAGGAAAGATAGGAAAGCAAGCATGAGATGAGGTGAGGCAGGCGGGAAAAATGAGTGAAAGTGGCATTTTGCCTACCGAGGTGGACCTTGAGGTTGTTCTATCAGGTATGGATTATATAGCCTGTTGGTGGTTTGATGTAGGTAGTAAGAGGTGGTCTACCTAGTCTGATCATCAGACGGCCAGCGTAAGAGGGGAGGTAAGGTACCTAGGGTAAGGTAAGGTAAGTTACCTACCTTAGGTAGGTGAAGATGCTACACTCCTTGCATGGATACTTTTGACAGGCGTCAGCCCAACACAAAGAACAAATCACTCAATCAATCAATCATATCGAAGGAACGTTTTGATCGGTGATGGGAAGAGGAGGTGAAGACAGACATAAGAACACATGCCTACGCCACGCGCGCTTATCTGGGACATGGTTTTTGATTCTCTTTCCGAATTGGGGGATATATATAAGGTATACTGTATATATACCTAAGGTACCTAGGTAGGTATAGAGGTATAAATAGGGTATATCACTGTTTCGGCGCGTTGCTACAGAACCGGTCCGTTTTGGGGAGAAAACGTGCAATTTATCCTCCCCTCCTACTCGCCTTTCTGCCCTTATCCGCCTCTTCCCCTTTTCTAAAGTGAACGAGTAGCAGCGAGTTCGTAGAGCTCAGTAACAAGTGGTACGATAAGGTAAAAGGTACAAGATGTCAAATGGCTCAACCGAGAACTAGACCAGAAGTAGAGAACAAGAGTTAGGTACTACGGCTTCTGCTACTCTTCCACGATTTTCTATTCTGTGCTACAGACACACACACCGCCATGTGGTGCAACGGGCGCCAATGCAGCTGCCTTTTATTGCCGGCGTTGATGTCAACCACACCCGAATCGAAACTCGGAAACTGTACAGATACATGTATGTACCTTTTGGTAGATGTAAAAATATATTCATGTGCATCTGCCGTCTTCTACCAGCCAGGAAATTGCGATAGATTGCCGTTGTGCTCTTTTTCTGTCTCTCTCTTACACTCTTTCGCTCTCTCTTCCCACGATGCGTGAAGATCGATCATGATGAACACATTATTCACCCATCGCCGAGACGATCAACACCTCATCATCATCATCTGCTGCTACTGCCGCCACCTCTCGCAGCTCCGAAAAAGGTAGCCCACTGGTCGGTCGAGCTGCATTGCAGACGATGCTGTCGTGTCATGGACGAGCAGACGCAGTAACAGTCGGCAATCGCACAAATCTGTCTGCTGACGACTGACTGCACGCCTGCATCATACACCCTAGCTGGACTTCAACTTCATCCCTGCGTATTGATACCAACCACTGCTGATGATGAGTCCGCTAGCCGCCAGACATACCATTTGCCATTTGGGGAGACGGGCCAGACGGCAATATTTATGGTTATGAAAGGTAGGCAGCGGCTGGTAGCCTGGTACACAGTCCTTCCACAGCCGTTCGATAGTCCATCCGCACACCCCTGTCCAGCGTATAGGAGGACGTATTTTTTGATTCTTACCGGGGTCAAAATCGCGAAACACCTTTATTTCGCCGCTTGCAAGGTGCAATAACTCCACTTTCTTGATCCTCGCTGGGTATTCTGCATCTAAAAGCCGGGAACCTATACCTCTTGGGTAATTTTCAGGGTGCGGATAGACTATCGAACGGAGGTGGAAGGACTGTGTAGCAGAGATGTCCAAACCTTAGTAATAGTAAATAGTCATGACTATTACTATTACTATTGCCCTTTTTGGACAGTAGTAAATAGGGATTACTATTTACTACTTCTCAAAATGCCGATAGTAATAGTAATAGTAATAGTAATTAGTAAGGGTATAATAGTAATTACTATTACTATATAGTAAAGATACTTTACTATTTTAGTATAACGTATAGTCTTACTCTATTTTAGTATTGTATAAGACTCAATATATTTATATAAAGGACTATATATCTATATATATAGTAGAAATAAGTAGTCGGAAGAGAATTCTACTATTAAATCAATTTCTACTACTAGTTAATATCGGTAGTAAATAAAACTATACTATATTAAATCTATAGTCTTAAGATATATATATTCTATATTCTTATAGCATTTGCTATATAACAATAGCTCTAATTATACAACTTTCTAATAGAGTTTTCTTTTTAGATATAACTTGTTACCTAATAACTTATTCGTTTTAGGTAATACTAATATAGGTATTTATAGTAGGATACTTTTAAAGATTGCCTATCGATAGGTTATAGTTTTATTACTATTAAACAAAAGAAACGCTTTAGAACTACTATTAAAAGTAGAGGCTTAAAATAAGCTATCTTAAAAAGAGCAAGGCTACAAGCCTTTAGGTAGTTACTCTAGAAGTTCTATAGTATTATATACAGCTATAGGTTATATATAATAGCGTACTGCTACCCCTAAGTAGGGATGCCCGGATGCCGTACTCCGTCCTTTTTCCTTTATAGAACCGCTAGAATAGCTAGCCTTCCTTCTTTATTATACTTACTATATTAATACTATAAGACTCCTATATATATATTGCTCTCCTATAATATATCTAGGCTATATATATATTAGAGCTAGACTATACTAGAATACTTATACTATCTAAAGAGCTAGACTATATTAGAGAGACATACTATAAGAAATATAATTTATCTTACAAGATAACTAATATTCTTGCATTTATTCTATATCTATAGCTTTTTCGATAGGAAATAGCTATAAATGATTCTCTTATACTATAAAGGTTATAGAGCATAGCAATATACTAGAAATAAAGTAATGTTATATAATAAAGTCCCTATTCTATTACTATTTACTATTACTATTACTATTTCCGTTACTATTACTACTTCCTAGAAGGTCGATAGTAATAGTAATAGTAATAGTAAATAGTAAAGGTATAATAGTAATTACTATTACTATATAGTAATTACTATTTACTAATTACTAAGGTTTGGACATCTCTGCTGTATAGGTATAATTAAAATGATATTCCACCTCCTTTCAGGAATAGCCGCTTTTCTATAGATGGCCCGGGCCACTTCGGAGGTCCGGGCTCTTGGGAACTTGGCCCCTCGAGGGTCTCTTAAGTTAGGAGTTACTCTCGGCGGCTATTGGGCAGATTCGACCTCTTTGTCCTCATTCACTTCATCCTATCACGTCCGCAAGCTAGGAACGAGTTTTATCCATCATCCTTCACGCTGTGTTTGGGGGTGGCGACCTTCAGGCTATGGCTGGCTGGCTGGCCGATGGAGATAGATGATGGATGATGGGCTTCAATGCCCGTGGATCGATACAACATTGCCCGGGCTGTCAGACACGGCAAACACTACTGCTAATTGACGACTGCGAGGATGCTGCTGTTGATACCGAAAGTGTCACAGGGCGCTGGGAGTATTGTGGACTCGAACTGGATCCCGAAAGTGCAACGCTGCACCAATAAAACCTCATACCCTTGCCATGCTCGTCGCTGGGACCGACTCGCCTATGCTGCGTGTGTTGCATGAGTGGAGTGCCGCCTGCTTGCGTGTGCACACCGTAAGTCGGTTGTGATAGGTCTTCTTCATCTACTGCCGTCACCACACCTCTTCTTTCTTCGCCTTTGCGCCCGTCTACATATCTCCTTGCGTCCAGACCGTCCTCCCTTTTGCGTGTCTTTTGCTGCTTTGACGGAACCATCACCACAAAGAACGACAACATGGTCCAGCCCACGTGGAACGGCAACAAAGGATAACCCGTACAGAAGTGGCCGGGAGCGACGTCGTGGTTTGCCTGGGGCACGAGCTGCGACAATACGCTGCTGCTGCGACAACCAGACGGGATATCCACTTTTCGCTTCACACCAACCACACCACACCTTGGCCAGACGAGACGACATGGCTACTCGCAGCTATGCAGATGTTGCGCCCACGGCTGCCACTATCGGTTCGTGCCTGTGTCTGCCGTTGTCAATAATCACTCGCTAACGTCGGAGGTGCTGCATAGCTCTCAACGCCTACATCTATGGCTACGGAGGACACTCGTTGGTGACTCCACACGTCCAGCTCAAACAACGGTACGTGGATCAGAGTCGTCTGGGGAAAGGTCGCTGATTTGTCTTTCTAGCTGGTGGACAGATGAGAGAATCGATGCCAAGGTCACACGAGCATTCATCATCAGCAAGCTCCGGAATGAAGAACGTAAGTGGAAGTGCATTGGAAGGGTTGTTGCGCTCAAACTTCGAAAGTGACTGACATCCGGGTTACTTGATAGGCGACATGGTCGATGGACCCATCAAAGGCTTTGGCGGTCTTACCGACGACAGCTACATGGAGTGGATATTAGAGCGTGCCAAGCGCTTCTTTCTCGTAAGCATCAGCAGTACACGGGCGACATTCCATACCAAACCTGCACTGACTCATGTATGACCATTGCACAGATTCTCAACGACATTGACAAGTCAGATCAGATCTTCGGTTGTATCGACGAGAGCTGGGATGACGATGATTTGCCTCTATCACTGGATGAGATACCGTCACTCAACCTAGATACCAAGAATAACGATGGACTGAACAAGAGATTCTACGATGCGCAGTTCGTATTCATGCTGCGAGAGCTGAAGAAGGGCGCGCATATTGAATATGGACCGAATGAGCACATTCCGATGGAGCATGTCAACACCATGCCTCCGGCAGTGTGTCTTCAGACGTTCGATCGTATACACTTTCCAGGACGAGTGGACGACGTATTCATGCGAAGAAAGTATCCTCTGATCAACAAGGAGACCGGCGAGCGGTTCCATGACAGGTTTATGCGCGATGTACGAAAGGCAAAGGCGCTTGCCCATGAGCACATTGCACCCTGCTGGGCATCATATACCTCGGAAAATGCTGGATTTGTCATTTCCGACTTTGTCGCCGAACACTCCATCGGTACCTATATTGAGCATCGGACGCCGACGCAATACATGCGAGTAGCCGCCCCCGAGCGTCCGGTTCTGCTGTGCGAGTGGATGCACTGTCTCTCCGATGCCCTCGCGTGCCTGCACAGCCGAGGCGTCGCACATACCGCCATCCGGCCCTCCAATGTGTGGATCGATAAGGATAATCACATTGCGTTTGGTGATGTAGGATCGATCAGCACATTTCAGAGAGGCAAGAAGGCGGGCAAAACAGAGGCATACGATTACGCAGCACCCGAGTCGCATATATCGAAAAGGCCAGTGGTGCTGAAGTCGAGCTCGCCACCTGTCAGCAGCATCGGCGCATTCTCTCGATTGCGGAAGATGAGCACGAGTACGTTTGCGACCATCGACACGGTGAGCTCGTCAGAATCCTCCAGCGCCAGCAGCATCAGAAGCAATAGCTTCATCGGTGGTACCTCCATCGGAAGCCCCGTGATGTCTCCCGCAGCATCGTCATTCGGAGAAGGTCGCACCAACAGCGTGACCACCATTCGTACAGCACTCCCACCAACATTCGAATCGGAGCCCGTCTCTCCCGTCTCTTTCACGTCGAGCCGCACCCATTCGAGACAGATTTCGGAGACGTGCCATTCACCTACGATTCCCATCGGGCCTTTCTCGCCGGTCTCGCCTTTCTCCCCAGCATCTTTCGATACTGCATCTCTGCTTCTCCAGAGGCCTTCCACAATCAGTGCCGCCAGCCTGCGTGATCTCCCCACAGCGGTGCCTGAAATGAGCGACATTTGGTCTCTTGCATGCATCTTTCTCGACATCATCACTTTCATGATCAAAGGAAAGAACAACGAGTTCCTGAAGTTCCGCGCAACGAGAGTTCAAACGAAGAACCGCACGCGTACAGACACGTCGTTCCACAATGAGCCCGATAAGATTTCGGCGTGGATCAGCATACTAGAAGAAGAAAGTAAGAAGCGCGACGAGAAGATTTACCGCGCCGTTCCGGAGCTGTTGGCACTGGTGAGGATCATGATGTCTCAGAACGCGACTCTGCGACCAACCGCGCGAGAAGTCCGAGATCGCATCGAGGAGATTCTGGTCGGTGAGTGTGGCGTAGAACACTTATGCTGTACCGACCGAGAGTGGCCCGAATACGACAAGAACCATCTCAAAGACGAATCCACATCTTCCGGTCGCCGAACACGCCACGACTCTCCTCTGCAAGATGACCACCTGCCCATGGGTTCCCTGAGCGTCGACGCCCCCCGAAAAGGCAGCGATTCAGGCCCTCGGGCGACGAGTGTCCTCGAAAAGCGCCTCAGCCCCGACCAGCAAGCGGCTGCTCTCGCACAGACCGAAGTGCAACGACGCCGTCGGAGCTCAACGAGTACTGTCACTGCCAAAGTCAGCTCTTGGAAAATGAAAATTTTCAGTGGTCGAGCGGAAATACCACATCATTGAATCAAAAGAAGAAGAAAAGGCAAAAGATGTGGGAGGGGAGGACTGGAACGGACTGTACAACGAAAGGAATCTCTGTGCAAAAGATTATGCCCGCTCCATTTTTGCACATGCTTGTTTGCTTGCTTGCTTGCTGTGGGTAATAATGATCTTTTTCTTTTTTCATTGTCGGATATGAAGGCGGAAGCGAAAGCGAAAGCGAAATGAGATACCCTTTTTTTTCTTTCTTTTTGATCTGGTGTGATGCGTACAGGTACCTTTCATACTTTTGATAGATATATATCATCAAAACATACATCTTTTCTTGTCTATAAGGGAGGTACTTTTACTTTACTTAGTAGTCTTTTTTTCTTCTTATTGCTGGACATGTTCATTCCAGAAAAACCTACTATCATGTGTGGATGGGTATGGGTATGATAGCTTTCGCCAAAAAAAGGGAAAATCGTGAGTTGGTGTATAGTATCAAGAGCACTTGTGCGAAATGAGACGAAATAGGTACGATGCAGTGCGAAGGAGAGGTGAATAAGATGAGTCAAAGATTTTGTTCGTTTTACACTCGGTACCTGTAAGTGCTACCAGAGCAAAGCAGTCGAGCATCATAATAATCTCCTCCACTCTTCCTCACAATCTGCCCAACCTAGGACAGACATATCATAATTCATTATTTCTTTTCAAAAAAAAAAAACCCCCATAAATCCATTTCTTCCCTCCTAAGCACCATTCCCATTATACGCAAGTTTATTCGGCGAAAAAAGCTGCAAACCCAAATTCAGCGCATTCTTCGTACTCAACTCTCCAATTCTCTGACAAAGCGCACTAGGCGTCCGAGAGCCCTCCAACGCAAGCAAATACGCTCCGAGGCCAGTGATGTGAGGAGTCGCCATGGAAGTGCCCGAAATGGTGTTGATGTCGGTATCGCTGTCGATCCACGTGGAAGTAATGTTGGTACCGGGAGCGAAAATGTCCACGAGAAGGCCGAAGTTGGAGTAGGAGGCTCGAGCGTCGTTTTTGTCGCTGGCGCCGACGGTGCAGACTTCGGGGGCGGAGGCCGGGGAGGAGGTGATGGTGGGGAGACCGGAGTTTCCGGCTGCGACGGCGAGGAAGAGGCCTTGGTTGACGGCTTCGGCTACTGCGGCGTTGGTGGTGGGGCTGAAGAGGCCGCCGAGAGAGAGGTTTGCGACGGCTTTTCCGATGCGACCTTTGGATTTGGCGTCGTTGACGGCCCTGTGTGTTGTATATTGGTTAGTGGTTGGTTCTCGAAAGGGAATGTCTTTTGGACACTCTGTTCAACTCACCAGTCAATGCCTGCAAGCACACCAGCGTTCGAGCCGGAGCCCGCTGCGCCTAGCACCTGAACAGCAATGAGGCTAGTCCTCTTTGCAACACCGTAGGTAGTCGATCCAGTCGTGCCAGCAACATGTGTTCCGTGGCCGTTTCCATCCTCTTGGAATGGCTCGCCTTCGACAAAGCTTTGACCAAAGGTAGCACGACCGCCGAAATCTTGATGGGTTGTCCTGATGCCAGTATCGATGATGTAGGAAAAGGTGCCAACGCCCGCACTGTCGTCGTATACATACGAGGTAGCGCCATTCTCGCGATGTGAAATCCGTGCCAGACCGTATGAAGGCACGTTGTTTTGTGTGACCAGCGCGCTTGTGGTCACTCGCGTGTTGGGCTCAATGGACTCGATAGCGGCAATGTTGCCGACCAAGGTGGTGAGGTCGGATACTCCATCGATAGAGAATCCCTTGAAGCTACCAAAGTCGTACGTGTACTTGGCTTGAACACCGGCGGCCTGTGAGACTTGAGAGATCACATTGCTGAGGACGGAGTTCTGTTTGACTTTCACGATCCATGATCCAGCAATGCTATCTGCTTGTCGAGTGTCGAGCAAGACAGGCGCTGCGAGCGCAGCTGGCACAGCCAAAAGTGCGGTAAGAAAGGAGCGCATATTGTCTTTTGAAGAGATGCAGAGGAGTTGATGGTAGAGTGAAGCAGGTGGTAAGAGCAGATCTTAGATGTAATATATACCTACCTTTGCGACCTGAATGGCAGTATCTCGTACGCTATGTTCGAATGTGCTCGGCATAGCAGATGATCTCGTTGCCACTAAAAAAGCCAGCCAGTGGTGTTTTGGAGCCGGCCATTCGCTGATCAAGCCGTGATCATCGTTATTGGCACCTATTTCATCGCAAGTCGACCAAAAGTCGCCTACAAGCAGCATTGCGCCTCCACACGTCCAGCGCAATACCACAGAGCCAATTTGGGTTCAGATCAACAGACGTGTGAAGAGGACACCGAGGCTGACCGCTGAAAACCGGGTTGGGTGATATTTTACTGAAGCTTCATCAAGCAGCCATTGCCGCATCTACTTGGCATGAATGTCCGTCTCTTTCCAACTTTGTTAAGTGACAAGAATGCCAAGGCTAGAGGCGTTGCGCTGATGAAGTTTATAGCGGTGGCGTGGAGTCCTCTTACCCAGTCAGCAGATGTTCTCGGCGAGTGCCGTTGCAGATCTGTCTCTCCCAGCTCCGGCAAGTTTTGAGCTACCTGTATTCTAGGAGTCAAGCATGGCATCTCTGCATTGATATACGAGGGGAGAAAGACCCTCTCGTCCTACTGCGCAATGTAACATGATTTCTCCGCCACTGCATTTTCGAAATGTCCTCGGTGGTAGTATTGGTTCCCAAAAGTGGCATCCATGGTCGTAATTAGCATCTTGGTGGCTACACTTACGAGCAGAAGTCACAAGATATGTACCTCCTATGACTCAAGTTGGTCAAAGTCGATCATATAGCACGAAAAGTCCGAGCTACTGGTGCAGCAAGAGCGCGGCTGTACGGAATGAGCTGTCCATGGCAGGAGTAGGTATACTCTGGCGTGGGCTTCTTTTCCTACAGACGATCACCTTGGTCTTTCAAGCCGGATTTTACAAAGTCGTCCCGTTCGACTTCATATACACCCTTCACTCTCAAGCTCGCCATCAGACTAGCACCGGGCCATGCACCTAAAGTCTCGACTCCTCTCACGATACCCTTGATGGGAGGCTCCACTCGGCCTTGAGCTTGCGCCCGCTCTGCTTTTTGCGTGATCGGATCTTTGATGTCGTCGTGAACGCGATCCATGTGTGGTATTGCTTCCTGCAGCGGCATCTTCATAGGTGATAGCGGCACAGTAGGCGAAGTACTGCCTGGCGGTACAAGATGTAACGTATTTGGCGAGCGCTCTTTCAACGCTGGATTGGTGTGACTTGTGGCGCTGCCATAATTGAAAACTGGGTTCCATCCACGTGTCTTGATGAGGTGATCAATCTCTTGTAGTAAACGACGCTTCAATCCTGGGAGACTGCCGTAGATGCCAGTGACCATGATGCGGCTGACACATAACGCACGGAAGTCAGTCGGAAGTGATAGCAGTAAGCGATAGGCCAGGATGTGAACAGGCAGATCGTGGTCATCGTGATCATCAGGCTGGGTTCCAGAAGCAAAGTAGACCCTCTCGGCGGGCTCAGCCAGCTTTTCAAACAAAATCGAGAATGATTCGTCTGAAGTGCTGCCAGGGACTGGAAGATGGACAATAGCTGAGTCTTCGTTGCTTGGCGGCGAGCGTTGCTGACACCACGCCATGCGTTGTGAGATATCTTCTGCCTCGTCAAATGTGACCTTCACTTCCACTTCGCTAGGCACGGAGCCCTCGATAATGTTTCCCATTTCACGCGTAAGTGCTTTGCCAGCTCTCACGCTGCGCCTCTGTGCCACTTCCTTGTACTCTCCCACTGCAGTTACAACGGTCTCCTCCCAGCCAATGTCAATCACAATACCGTCCCTGAGGCCAGCACTGACGCAGCACATGGCCGGCTGGGTGATTAAAGCGATGGAAGGTGGTTGTGTGTAGTGTCCGAACAGCACTTTCAATACCGCCTCAAGCAGGCGAGTAGGGAGTAACGAAGGTATAATGACTGCGGCTTTTCTGGGTTTTGAATCAAGCTGTAGATAATCTATATGCGCGGTGCGCAATGCGCGATCTAGCTTGTCCTCGACCAGTCCGAGATTCACCTCACGCAGATCATTCTGATAAAGCTCATAGCTCGCTGCCCATTCCTCGCGCAGCCTGAACTTCCGAGTTCTGCTTGCATGACCGGGTTCATATTGCCTATAGTCGCCGACCCTTCGCGCCATGTCCGGAGTGAAGGGCAGAATGCATCGTGGCCTGCTCTCACCAGCGAAACCGGCGGACAAGGAACGAGGCCCGATCTCGTAGAGGATGATGTCGTCTTGGTCGGAGCGGAAGCCGCTGGGACTGCCAAACTGCGAGGAGATGCTACGGCCAAGCTGTGGTGTTCGTGGGCTCCGCGGTGAGGGGCCAGCTTGGAGTGCCGAGTGCGATGGTCGTGGGCGTGACGAAGTGGTGGTGGTGGTGGTGGTGATGGCGGCGGCGGTACTAGCAGTCGCAGCCATATTTGATGGAGGGGAGCAGAATGGGCGGTTGTCAAGCAGACTGCCACGGTGCCTGTGGTACAGTACGGTACCCTATTGCGCTACATGGTGTCGTCTGATTCCACATTGAGAGTTCGCGGTGCGAGCACTGGAGGTTCCAAAAATGCCAAGACCATGTGGTCCGTGTCCATATTTTTCTTCGCGACAGCTTTTCGAGCTTCCTTCGAGATCTTTGACGGAGGTGCACTCTCGTTCGCACGACACGACACGACACCCACCGGTGACTCGCCATTCATTCCTCGCCCTACAGTCATCTCGTCGCATCCTAGCGACAACGGTATCAGCACTGTATTCTAGCCAGGATGACGCTGTTCATCCTCACCGAGACGTCGGCGGGCTATGCGCTGCTCAAGGCCAAGGACAAGAAGCTGCTCAAGCGTGATGACATTGCAAAAGAGGCCAGCACCGCCGAGGGTGTGTGCGGCATGCTCAAGATGAAGGAGTTTCACAAGTTTAACAGTGCTGCGAGTGCGCTGGAGGAGGCCGCTGCGTTGACAGAGGGCAAGGTGAGCTTTTTTGACATTTCCTCATCGCTGAGAGAGGCGAGCCAAGAGACGGAGGCAAGATGAGGATTAACGTTTTCAGGTCACGCCCACACTCGCTGGCATGCTCGACAAGATCAAGGACGAGAAGAAGGTCTCCCTCGCTGTTGCTGACCCGAAGCTCGCCAACGCCATCGCCAAGCTGCCCGGCCTGCAAATCACACCCGTGTCCGACTCCAGCACCGCCGACATCTACCGTGCCATTCGAGAGCACCTCCCCTCACTGATTCCCGGCCTGATGCCCGAGGACATCAACACCATGTCGCTCGGTCTGTCACACAGCTTGTCCCGACACAAGCTGAAGTTCTCGCCTGACAAGGTCGATACCATGATCATCCAGGCTATTGCGCTGCTCGACGACCTGGACAAGGAGCTCAACACTTACGCCATGCGAGTAAAAGAATGGTACGGCTGGCACTTCCCTGAGATGGCCCGCATCATCAACGACAACCTTGCTTACTCTCGCGTCATCTTGTCAATGGGCATGCGAACGAGTGCTGCCACGACGGATCTGTCAGATGTGCTTCCAGAGGAGATTGAGACTGCAGTCAAGGCTGCAGCTGAGGTGTCTATGGGCACGGAAATCACTGATGACGATCTGGACAACATCAAAGCTCTCGCTGAGCAAGTCGTGGGCTTCACCGAATACCGAGCACAGCTTTCCTCCTACCTCTCAGCACGCATGCAAGCAATTGCACCCAATCTCACTACACTCGTTGGCGAGCTTGTTGGCGCCCGTCTCATCGCCCATGCCGGCTCCTTGATGAACCTCGCCAAGTCACCTGCTTCCACCATCCAGATCCTTGGCGCGGAGAAGGCACTTTTCCGTGCGCTAAAGACCAAGCACGATACACCCAAATATGGTCTTATCTACCATGCTTCGCTAATCGGACAGGCGTCGGGAAAGAACAAGGGCAAAATTGCGCGCATGCTAGCAACAAAGTCGACTTTAGGTCTGCGTGTCGATGCTCTGAGCGATTGGGGCCAGGCGGGCAAGGGCGAAGAGGAGGAGCCAACGGAAGAGGAAAAGTGTGCGATTGGGCTTTCAGGTCGCGCAGCAGTCGAGCGAAGACTACAAGCACTTGAGGGCAAGCCGCTCAAGGCCAACAACGTGGCTATTGGACCAAACGGACAACGAACAGCAGCTCCAGCCAAGTGGGAAATCAAAGAGGCCCGCAAGTATAACGCAGATGCAGATGGACTCGCAGCCGACGCTCCGGCAGCTGTCGCGAATGGGCATGCCGAGCCTTCGTCGAGCAAAAAGCGAAAGCTGGTCGAGGAGGTTGAGACGAATGGCGGTGCCGACGAGAGTGAGGAGGAGGATGTCGACAACACTGTTGCCACATTCCAAGGCGAGACATCGAAGAGTGAATCAGCAGAGGAGCGTGCCGCCAGGAAAGCTGAGAAGAAGGCGAAGAAAGCCGAGAAGCTCGCCAAGAAGGCGGAAAAAGAAGCAAAGAAGGTGGAGAAAGACTTGAGCAAGAAGCGAAAGGCCGGAGATGACGAGGAACCTGCGAAGAAGAAGAAGAAGAAGAGCAAAGCATAGGGGCTCTCGACTTCGGCAGTCGGTCTTCCAGCATCATGTTTTGGCGTTCTCACATATCTGGTGGGCGTTCTCCCTGGCGGGCAAGTGCTTTCAAGTGTGGATGGAAATGTTCGGCGCTCGAGGCGTTCAGTGACAGAGGACAAGTTGCATCAGGTGCACATTGGTCTATCTGTACGGTGGTGATGATGAACTATTGTACGTACCTAACTGTACAAATTTTCTCACGATTGAGCAAAAAATATATTGGCATCTCAGACCACAACCTCCCGGCCATGGGCCGTATTTCAATCATTCCTTCTTCTGCTCAGATCAAGACTGGTTCCACCACATGACATGGTCCAAACGACTCACCCAATCGACTCACCCAACCCATCCCAGCACAACACAACTCAGCATCATACCAAACTACTGTTCTTCTTCGATGAGGCAAATGGATAGACGAATGCATGCTGGTTGCAGATGCTCTTCTTTTTGCTCTGTTTCGTGGTCATCAAGAGGACAGCCCAGGACAGTGAAACAGACCTCCATGAAAAAGAAATAAACGAAAAGTGAGACTAATCATATATAGATACTGCGGGAAATTCTCTCTCTCTCTCTCTCTCTCTCTCTCTCTCTCTCTC